AGTGCAATGCAGCTTGGAACAGTTTGGGGCATAGGGGAGAATCTAAATTTATCAGGAAAATATTTTTTGATTTATATTGGTATTTTATTTTAATCATTATTTTTGCTCCTATAGTGCCCAACACTGCCGAAATCTGGCAACAATATGTCTCTTAGTTGATCTCTTAGATATGAATTGCTGAGTAATTAATATTGTGAGGTTAAACTTTATTTGACAAGTTAATATTTAAGACTGTTATGATAGATCCATTCTCTGTAACCTCTTTTTTTTAAAATGTACATTTCATGGTTAATATGTTATTTTTAGATAATTGCAACATTTGAAACATACCGCAGCTGTTCACCTTGTTGACAACTACTTTACTTGCGGGATTATATTGACAACCCCTGATAAAATCAAATAAACGAGCCTATTAGGCACGCTGGCTTTACTGTAAGTCTTATATTTCATACTCCATAAAAAGATGGATATATCTGGATGCAGAAAATCTGAACCAAAGCATTATTTCAAAGTTCGTTTTCTTTAACCCTCAATTTGCCAGAATAGCATGGACAGCAAATTGCTAGCCCAGGCGTTTAAGAGGTTACAATTGTTGGACGTGTGTCTAGCGTTTCCATTTTGTTGAATACAATTTAGTGAAATCTTTTTTAATGTGCCAAGAACTACCCACTTTTCTCTGGAGTCATATTACACTATTGGAAGGGAATAATGAGAACTAACTATACACGAGGCAATATTTTTAATCAATGTAAAACTATTAATTTAACCTCCCCTTCCTGTAATAATATTGAGACAGACTGTCTGCCTGTTTGTACATTATGGCTTGCTTTGCAATCTGTATAGAATCTAATGAGGTGTGTAATTCTGTAAAGGTATCGATTAAGATCAATTCAGATACTAAAATGCTTATTTTTCTATCTTCTGTAGCATTTAAAGATTGAAATTAGTTCAAAACAATATATTGACTTTCAATTTAAAACATGTTGCAGAGATTATGAATGAGATGTCAGAAAGCTGTAAATAAGGCAAAGATAATTCACTGGTTTGTTACTGTAATGTACATATATTGGAAAATAGGGAGCATGATAATTATCATATTTGTGATAGAAATCTAGGAAATGTACTTAGCAATAAACTTAGTGGAACTATAGTTAGTATATACCTAAATTGTACTGGGTGGTAAAACCCAGAGTTCACACATTTCTGTGAGTGATGGAAATATTCTCTAGACAAGGGATGCCCAAAAGGTAGATACCCACATGTTTTAAAACTACAACTGCTGTGATGCTTTGTCATTCTAAAGGCATGCAAATGATTGTGGGGGTTGTAGGTCTACAACAAAGGCACGAACACACTGGCGGAACTCGCGCGGTCGCAGGGATTGCAGCTGCGACTGGGCCCATCGCCCTGTCGACCCCTGCGACCAAGGTGCTTGCCAGCATTTTGGTGCGGCCCCAACCACGTGGGGCCTTATTGAAGGAGCCCAATGGGTGGCCATGCTCTTGGGGCCGCCCAATGGCAATGGATTTCCTGGGGCCTGGTCAACGCTGTGGCGCATTAAGAGCATGGCTGGGCTCCAGTGATGATGTCAGAGCTGGGAGGAAGCTGTCACTTCCTCTCAACCAACAGCGCGCCGCACAGCAAGAGAGGAGGGAGTCAGAGTGGGAGCATGAGACAGCCACTGGACCCCAGGGAAGTTACTGAATTTCTTTAACAGTTTGTGTGTGTTTGTGCGATAGAGAATGTCTGTATCAGTATATCTGTGTGTGTGTGTGTGTGTGTGTGTCTGTGTGTGTATGTCTTTGTGTGTGTGTTTGTATGTGTGTGTCTGTATGTGTGTGTCTCTGTGTGTGTGTCTGTATGTATGTGTGTCTGTATGTATGTGTGTCTGTCTGTATGTATGTGTCTCTGTATGTGTGTGTCTGTATGTGTGTGTGTCTGTATGTTTTGTGTGTGTGTTTGTATGTCTGTATGTATGTGTCTCTGTGTGTGTGTGTGTGTGTTTGTATGTATGGGTCTCTTTGTGTATGTGTGTGTGTGTTTGTATGTACGTGTCTGTGTGTGTGTCTGTATGTATGTATATATGTGTGTGTTTGTGTGTATGTGTCTGTATGTATGTGTGTTTGTATGTGTTTGTGTGTATCTACATGTATGTGTGTGTCTGCATGTGTATCTGATTGTCTACATGTGTAGGGTGGGCAGGGACATATGGGGTGGGAGGTAGATGTATGGAGGCGGGGACATATGGGGTGGGGGGGTAGACATATGGGGAGGGGGCCCAGAGAAATTTGTGCACCGGGGCCCCGTGGTTTCTAGTTACGCCTCTGCATGAGCAGCAGGTCCTTTAAGTCCTGCAAGTTGGGAGTTGGAGCCTCCAAGGATTGGATGTGTTGTTACAAAGCAACACCTTGAACTCTTTGTCATGTTCCTCAAACTATTTATGAACATTTTTGTGTAGTGAGCCAGGGTGCATTAACCTGCTGAAAGAGGCCAATGTAATCAGAGATCAACATTGCTATGAAGGGGCGTACGTGGTCTGCAACAATCACTACATAGGTGGTAAGTGCCAAAGTAACACCAATATAAATGGTAGCACCCAAAGTCTCCCTGCAAAACATTATCCAAAGCATAACACTCTCTCTGTAGGCCTGCCTTCTTCCCATAGTGTATTCTGCTGCTATCTCTTCTCCTGGTAAAAAATGCACACATACCCGGCCATCCACGTGATCTAAAAGAAAATGTAACTCACCAGACCAGGTAACCTTCTTCCATTGCTCCATTGTCCAGTTCTGATGCTCACGTTCCTGTTGAAGGTGCTTTCAACTTTGAACAGGGGTTATGATATGTATCCTCATATGCAGCAAACAGTTATGCACTATATGTTTGATACCTTTCTATCATGTCCAACAGTTTGTTTTTCAGCAATGTTCAGTGTGATCAGACCAGACAGGCTAGTGTTCGCTCCCCACATGCATCAGTGAGCCTTTGGTGCCCATGACCCTGACGCCAGTTCACCCGTTGTCCTTCCTTGCACTACTTTTGGTACATACTAACCACTGCATACTGGGAATACCCAACAAGACTTGCTGTTTTGGAGATGCTCTGACCTTGTTGTCTTGCCATCACTATATGGCCCTTGTCACAGCCACTCAAATATTTTCGCTTGCCCATTTTTCCTGCTTCCAACACGTGAAATTCAACATCCCTTTTTCTCAACATGCCTACACTTATATAATGTTCATCTCCTTCAACACTAGCCAATGTTCGTTTCATGCCAACTGTTTTGTCAATTCAGTTTAGGTAATTTCTGATGATGAGCAAAACTGGAGGTAAAAAATTCTGTGCTCTTGCAAATACTGAAGTAGGTGATGCTTTGCATTAATGAGCTTAGTCATGCAATTGATCCACTTAGTCTGTGCCAATTTTGTATATTCTTGTTTATCTTCGAGAATTGGTATGGGATTTGACATTGTGTTTTCTTTACCGATGTTGCTTCATACCGGCAATAGTGAGATGACCTTGCACTTATCTCCTTTTACTTCTTTGCCACAGAATTTGCACTTTACAAGTTGAACTTCTGGGTGGCACTCACATTGATCCCAAATTTTGTTTCATTGGCTCAATATATTAGTCACTACCCTTTGCCTTGAGTCTAATGAAGATGCTGTGGACTTGCATCAGTGGTTGTAGAATGTGTCACAACACAAATGCTGATAGTGCCCATATTGGTGATGTTGATGATGGTAGTATTGGAGGTGGAAGTAGTGGCATTGGTGATGCTGGTAATGGTAAAAGACAGTCCGTGAGATCATTGTGCCAGTGGTAGCAGGTGCAGCTGATGTCACAATTGTCTCCACTGGATGAGTTGATTCCACAACAGATACAGATGGACTTGGAGATGGTGGAGAAAATTGCAGGAGGCAAGTGCACAGTAGCTGCCACAGAAAAACTAGGTTGCTGTCTGCCCTCTCCACCCTCTCCCTCCGCAGTGTTTCTGCACATGTTTCTGCACAGTCATCCCTCAATTTAGTTTTTTACGGCTATTTATAAAAAAAAAAAAAGAGGAAAATTGGAGGGAGCAACACTTTTTGTGAGTTAGGCAAATTAGAAGTTCTTACCTCCTAAAAGTTTAACTTTGAATTTCAAATCAAAAAAAAAAAAAAAATTCTTCCCTTCTCTTTTAGGAGCTTCACTTAATTTTATTATTACATAGTTAGATAATTACATAGCTGGAAGAGACATGCCTCCATGAAGTTCGGCTTTTCTCACATCTGTTTTTGCTGTTGAGATAATTAATCTTTTTATATATGGTTAAAAAAACTATATGTATGGACACCTTTTTATAATATGATTAAAATAATATGACAAATATCCATACAAAAAGAAGGGACATTTAGTTCTTGCAATGTATTATGGAGAGCAAGCCTTACTTTGGTAAGAATAATATTAAAAATATTTTTTTAAAAAGTAACAGTATAATTTGTATAAGGCTATAAACAAAACCTGTATTAAGTTAATTTAGTTTTTGGCTATTTTTATGGTAATTAACTTATTAACTTTTCCTGGCCATATCCATGGCAGCACAACAATGGGTAGCTCCTCCCCATCCCTAGTTAGACAGGAACTAATTAAAACAAAGGTATAAGTACCCCCTCCTACCCCTCCTACCCTCAGTCTTTTTGTTCCTGTCCTATCTCTAGGACAGATTAGTCTTTTCAGCCTGAGAACTATTTTTTTTTTTTTTATGGCTTACTTTAAGGGTTTTTACCCTTGGCCCCAGGGGAGTTAAGACTCTCTTCCTTGGGAAGCTCCAGTATACGGCCCTGTGCAAAGGTGTCCCCCTGGAGAACCCCCCAGTGACCGGGGGAAGCTTGAAGTGACCCTAGGGGTAGCAAGCATAAGTAGCCACTATCCTACTGACTGCAGTGACCCTAGGGGTAGCAGGTACGGGCAAGGCATAAACAGTATGGATATACCCCCTTCTACCTTCATTTTCCTGGTTAATCCTGCCTTCTCTGATTGGGAGGCATTCCTCCTCTTGATTCAGCAGTTCTCTGCGCAGTGTTTATTCTCCCTTCTGGGGAAGTACAGGGCTTCCCTGGTGATCTAGGGTTTCCCCTGTCCCTATTCGCGGCATTTTCGCCACATTTCTGTTGGGAGATCTGAGGGTCTCCTTGCTGGCTTGGTGTCTGGTTTTCGCCATTGCGCATGCGCGAACAGTGCGTTTGCGTCATGCAGTTTTCACGCATTCGCGGAAGTGCCGGTTGCGCATGCGCGGTATGACGCGGTTCCGATGACGTCATTCAGTAGTTTGGGTGCCCTTTTTAAAGCTCCAATACTGAAATTTAACTTTCCAACATAGTTAAAGCGGTACACTGCGGTACACTGCGGTCTTCTGCCCAGTTTTGTGGTGCAAACTGAAGGTAAGTCTTTTAAAGGCACAGTTGGTCTGTTTTCAGCTGATGTTTTTTGAACCTTATTTTTAAGCCTTATAGTATTTTATGGGCTTCACTTTTATAGATGAATTCATCTGAGACCATGGATTCAAATTCATCAGTTCAAAGTAAAAGGTCACTATATAAATCTCATGGATAAGCCATTTCCTATATTTTTTCTTCAATTTTTCTTCCAAACTGGAATGCTGGCTAATATTTTTCCCTTATTATAGTAGTACTAAAGGAAAAAGACAACTGGAACATCCAAAGGAAAGTCTCCCAAAAAGTCCCTATGCGAAGCATGTGACAAGAGGGCCCTGGAGGGGAAGCGCCTATGCTCAGATTGCCTACAGGCCGCAGGATGTCCCGCATCATCCACCCCGGATTTGATGCAATTTATTCCGAATGCTGTATCCCAAGGCATTAAAAAGGCTGGCAGAGCCCACAAAAGACCTAGATATCCAGATCCTTCCGACTACTCCCAATACGACTCTTCGGATGTGTCTATGGAGGAGACATACAGGGAGAGGTCATCTTCTTCGGATGAGGAAAAACAGCACGCTCCTGACACTTTGGACCCAACCGAAGTGGATCACTTAATTTCCAGGGTCCGCAAGTCTCTGAGCATGAAGGAACCTTCAAGAGAAGAGCCTTCTACATCCAGTCGATACTTTTCTGACCTCAGAATCCAGAGGCTCTGTATTCAGCAGGAACACGAGAGCATTATGACGGGTTGATCTCCCAGCCTGGAGGGGTAGGAGCGTGCCTCCTCCTATTCCAAAAGAGATGGGAGTCTTCTACCAAAGACAAGTGGGTGCTGGACATCATCAAAAGAGGATATCTTCTGGAATTCAGAGATGCCCCACCTCGTCGCAGTTTTCAAATTACAAGATGGCCGGGAGACAGAGGCAAGAGATTGGCTCTTCTGGAGTTTATTTCTTCCCTACAGCAAGAAGGCGTCATTATGGAGGTTCCAAAGGAGGAAAGAACACACAGGTTTTATTCTCACCTATTCCTCACAAAGAAGTCCTCAGGAGCATGGAGACCCATTCTAGATCTTCACACTCTCAACAAGCGATTGAATGTAAGAAGATTCAAAATGGAGTTGCTTCAGTCCATCATCAAAGCAGTTTTCCCAGGGCAATGGCTGATGTCTTTAGATCTGCAAGATGCCTACTTCCATATTCCGATCGCTCAAAGATATCTGAGATTCGCAGTAGAAGGAGGGCACTTCCAGTTCCGAGCCTGTGACGAGAGCAATCTCGCCACATTGCATTGGAGAAGCCTGGTTGCTCGCCTGTTGCCTTTAGACTATGGCCCCATGTTAAAAAACATATTTTTTACCTGTAGAAAAGATTTATTCGTTCTTTTCTGCCTGGTGTTCGGTAGCTTAATTGACGAATACTGGGTGGCCGCCATTCATATCACGAACACGAGGTCACGGCCATTTTAAACATGCTGAAGCCGCCGACCTCCCTTCTTGTTCGGTGAAAGTGCACGAACGGCCCGGTGTTCGGTAGTTTTGCTTGAATGTGTTATACCCCAGATAGGAATCCCATGGAGCTCATTCTCATGAAACTGACTGTGTAAAGACTTTGGCTCCATGGCGATTAAACTGTATTCGTGTGGTCTGAGCGCCATTCGCTTAATAATGTGCGCTCAGACCTGAGCTATCTGGGGATATGTTAAATGTATGCTTTTAATGTTATGCATCTCACACAGTGTATTTTAATAGTAATTTGTGTGTTAGTATCCCCACGTGCATAATGGCGATTTGCCTTTGTCTTGGGAGATAATTGAATTACTTCTCAATTATCTCGAAGGCAGAGGGGAGGAAGCCAGGATGCATTGTGGGAATATAATGTGACTGTGTGTCCTGTTTGGCTGATTGTCTGTCTTTTGTCACAGTCTCCCATTTGGTCCCCTAGGGGGTGTCCACCAGGTGGGAGACCTGCATAAATACTGGGCAGGTAGCCCTTATTAAACAGACCACTGCTTGACCCTCAAACCGAGCCTTGTCTCGTCTTTGGGGGGATTTACTGAATGCTGATAGAGACTGATTGCTAGGAGTGTAAGCCACTTGGATGCTTTTCCTATTCGTCTGCTAGCAGCGATTCGTATGGTTCCAGTTCGTGTGTTTGGAGTGCTATATTGGATGCCATTCGGGAGTTTGGAGCATTCCCTTATTGGCGGTTCGTGAGTTTGGTGTTCTACAATAGCTGTGCCTGGATCTCTGGAAAGGGGGACGATCGCTTAAACGGTTTTTACCCCCTGTGTGCAAAACGGTCCGTTACAGAGCCCTTCCCTTTGACCTCAGTACAGCTCCTCGCACTTTCTCAAAGATCTTGGTGATCCTGATCGCAGAATTAAGAAACAAGGGCATTGCCATTTTTCATTATCTGGACGACATCCTGGTGCTGTCAGAGGACAGGTACACTCTCAAGCAACAGGGACAGATCTGCATTCAGTTCCTGCAGGAACACAGCTGGAAGATAAATGGAGAAAAGAGTCACCTTATTTCTTCACAGTCCATGCTTTATCTAGGAGCCCTGTTCAACACTGCACTGGGGACAGTTCAGCTCTCAAGAGAAAGAGGAGTAAAGCTCATCAAGAAGGTGAAGGAGATACGACAAGTCAAGGTTACCACGGCAGAGAAAGTCATGAGCCTACTAGAATCCATGTCATCAACCATAGGCTTGACAAGATGGGTGCAATGGAGAAGGAGAGCACTCCAGAGGAATTTTCTTTCCCAATACAGAGGGAAGAATCTACTCCAGCCCATCAGGATTTCCACCCCGGTCCATCTAAGCCTGATATGGTGGATTAACAAGAAGGCTCTGTTCTCAGGGTTCCCCCTGGGGAACATTCCATGGATTACAGACACTAGACACTGGGGTTGGGGAGCCTACCTTCAGAACGAGGTCACCCAGGGGAAGTGGGAGTTTCTGGCGGTTTTCAGAGCTATGAAACACTTTCAGCATTTACTACAGCACAAGTGGGTGAAGGTGAGAACGGACAATGCTACAGTAGTAGCACATATCAATCATCAAGGAGGTACCCGAAGTCGCAGTATGGTAAGGTTGATGATTGCTCTGATGTCTTGGGCACAGAAGAACCTTGCAGGGCTAGTGGCGATTCATCTGCCAGGAGTGCAGAATACGGTAGCAGACTTCCTCAGCAGGGTAAGAATAGACCCAGGAGAGTGGAGCCTCTCAGATGAAGTCTTCATGGATATTGTGAAGAAATGGGGTCTTCCTCAGATAGACATCATGGCCACCACCAACAAGAAGCTCCAGGGATTCTTCTCGAGGGGTCACGAACCGCAGGCCCGGGAGAGGGATGCCCTAGCATGCAGATGGGAGTTCACAAAGGGGTATGCAGTTCCTTCGTCTCCCCTCATATTTCCTCTACTAAGAAGTATTCGGCAGGAACCAGTTTTCATGATCCTGATTGCCCCATACTGGCCTCGTCGGCCTTGGTTCCCTCTTCTTCTGAGCCTCTGTCAGGAACCTCCGTGGGATCTTCCAGCAGTTCCTTCTCTTCTGCACCAGGGTCCTATCCTACACCCAGACCCAGCATCACTCAACCTGAAGGCCTGGAGGTTGAAAGGGAAAGGCTTCTAGAGAAGGGTTTCTCGGCTGCAGTCACAGATACCCTGTTACAGGCTCGGAAGCGGTCCACTTCCTCTACCTACTATAGAATTTAGGACGCTTTTTCTTCCTGGGCCTCTCCCAAGCAGGTTAACATACAGCATCCATTGTTGTGCTGTAATGGATATGGCCAGGAAAGAGGAAAATTTATTCATACTTACCGTAATTTTCTTTTCCTGGTCATAGGCCATGGCAGCACAAAGATCCCGCCCAGGGATTTTTTGCTGGAATACAAGACTGAGGGTAGGAAGGGTGGAAGGGGGTACTTATACCCTTGTTTTAATTAGTTCCTGTCTAACTAGGGATGGGGAGGAGCTACCCATTGTTGTACTGCCGTAGCCTATGACCAGGAAAAGAAAATTACGGTAAGTATGAATACATTTTCCTCTATATCATGTATACAATTGACATGAAATATGTTTGGGACTTTTTGCCCTTATTAAATATGAAGATTATGTTAGAACCCTGTGTATCCATAAAAGCAAAATCAGAACTTTATTAAAAAGGGAAGTATCCTGAAAGAGAGCATCAGAACATACATCATACAGAGAACAGAAACATAAGGGCGTTCTGTAAAGACGACAGATGTAGGAAACATAGAAAACATAAAAACATTATGTAAAGACTTTCTGCATAGACATTTATAAGGTCACACAGCAGTGAGATTGAAGGTGTTTTAATACTTTAATATTCATCCATCCTATAGATGGGCATTTTGGGCATTTCTTAAATGTTTAATATTGCATTACAGTCCTTAATAGCAAAATTGAAGAAGATATCTACGACCTGGTCAGGCACTCTTGGGCACATTACACAGAGCCTGGCAATGGCTCTATGACGTGAGCTATTCCATCATGGAAATTTCTTGTTTATTGCTATACTAATGGAGTTTTACTATAGATATTTTCTTTATTTTTGTGTAATAGATCACTCATCAAATTCCTGATGACACTTAAATATTGATATAAAACACTGATGAAGTATAACATTCTCTTCTTTTCTCATAAATAATGGCCTCCAGTTCAGTAATATTCTTGAGTTTTCTGGCTGCAACCACCTATTTCAATTCCCACCAGAGATTTTCTATGGGGTTCAAGTCAGGTGACTATGATGGCCACTGTAGAATTGTCCAGGACTTCTTCTGCAACCAAGATTTGGTGGAATTTGAGATATGATTGGGATCATTACCTTGTTGGAAGGTCCAATGAAACCAAGATT